ACAACAAAAAGGTTGATGTTAATAATTTATTATGTTGTCATTTTGGAGAGGACTGGAAAAGTGATTCCCGTTTAAGTTTTTACAAATTCATCATCATCGAAGACAATCGAGAAGACAATGCAGCACCAGAAAATGGAACTGTCGACGATGAAACGTTGTGTGAGAACGTCGAAGAAGATGATGGATTTTCCATTTAATTAACTATTTTTGAATAATTAAATGTGTATTATCTCAATAAAATAAATAAGTTTAATAAATGATGTTAGTAAGTTATTTTCAATGCGGACAAACGCATTAGTTATTTTCATAATGTACAATGTCCAAATATTTTTCTAGAATTGCTTAGTTATTTTTGAATAGTTTAATGAAAAAATTGTATTTTAAATCGTAGTTGTCATATAAATGTAATAGAAAAGAAAAATTAGTTTAATTGTTCAGATGAAATGGGTTATCCGTTTTTTTCGATTACCGAAAATTTAGAAAACATGGAGATTGTACACTTTAAAACTATACCCCTCAATTTACATGAACGAAATTCTGGTAAAAAAATTTTAAATTTTGTTCTGCCTTGAGCATATAAGATGCAATATGCAATTAATAAAATTAATTAAAAACTTTTCGCTAGGAACTAACTTGGGTTAAAAAATAAGTTTAAGTGTATCTTGTATAAACATATGTTTGTCAACCAATTGGTATGATATTGTTCTGAAGCTATTTTCTTGTGGCATTGTAAATTAATTACTATTAAACTGGGAATAAGCCACAATTAAAGATAAAAATACGTTTATTGACGTTTCAATTTCCACTTCGGAAATCGTTCTCAAAATACGAACGATTTCCGAAGTGGAAATTGAAACGTCAATAAACGTATTTTTATCTTTAATTGTGGATTATTCCCAGTTTAATAGTAATCAATTGGTATGAATTTATAACAGTAAATTGTGGAGTAAAATTAATTAGATTTTTTATAGTGTTAAGTATGAATTTAGATAAAATAGATACTGGAGTGTTAATAAAACTGACAACGGGACGAATGGGAATTCCAACTTTGTGTATCTTGGGCAAGCCATACAACCTTGGAATGAGAGGGTTACCTGGTAGTTTGCTATAGGGAGCATCATGTACACCAATAAATGTCTTTATCTTCAGCATAGTTTTCTTATATACAGTATCGAGAAAAATTTTCCGCACAGTAGACACTTCAGGTATATTATATGTACAGTACTTTTGCAAAAACGACCTTAAATTTATGTTATTTAATTTTTTTTAATAGTGTATTTGATGCTACCATTGCTCTGCATAATTTTTTATTGATCTGACGTTGATTGTTGGTTTTGAAAGAATAAGGTAGCAAATACTTCTTAACGACTGCTGCGATGTCCTCGATTGTAACATATTTGTATGTTTTACACATTCTATGTGTTGGTCCACAACACATTTTTGGTTAAAATTTTTCACTTTTCTTATCAGTTTCGCACAGTGCAAAAAAATATTCTCCTTTGAATCTCAGTTCTGGATACCGTTTGATCCACATTGGTTACACTTCACTTTTGACATATTTAACAAATCGTCTCGTTTCTGCGTCAACCTCATATGTACTCTTTTTATATTTTTGCCGTTGAGTTGACAACATTGTTGTAGACGATAATCCGCGTGCCTGAAAAGAACTTGTAACTGCTATTATTAGCCTTTAACGGTATAAAATCTATCATGTCAACCTCGTAACAGCCCTGCTTGCATTAAGTTTCTGCTCCAAACTCGTAACTATGGGAAACAGGTAGGGAATATCTTGATTTAAATTACAATTCATTTAGAGAAGTTCATAACACTTATGTGCAGGTTTTAAAAGATAATAATATCGCTTCAAATGAACAAGCCTCACATTTATGTTTCTTAAGAATGGTTTGCTCATTAAATATGGGCCTATATAAGCCTAAAAGATCAGTGTAATCTATGTTTTAGTTTAAAAAAATGGTAAAATTGAACAAAATATACATGATTCTTATATCAACGAAAAAGATAGGGCAAGAAAAGAAGCGAAAATGGACAAACAAAAGGCTTTGAAAGGTGAGAAAATTGCTTATACTTTGGACGTCCAGTCAGTAGAACTGGTACCTCACATAGCTACAAGTGCACAGTAGTTACACTTGCAGCTACAATACAGAGAGGTTAATAAGAACATAAAGCAAAGAATAGAGAAGGCCAAAGAATTATGGATTGAAGAACAATATATAGAAATGGAAAACTATGAAAGAAATTATGACACATTCAATGTACATAAAAAATTAAAAGAAATTACAGAAACTTAAAGAACATATCAAATAAGTTTGCTTCAGAACAAAAACGAAAAGATTATTATAGATTTAACAGAGAAAATTAATAGATGTAGTGAATACATAAGAGAATTGTTTGAGGACCCCAGAAATAACATTTTTCAGGTAAATGGTGAAACGGGACCTGAAATCGTAAAATGTGAGTAGAAGTGGCACTCAAAACTGGAAAGGCAAATGGACCTGATGGGTTCCTACTGAATTGTTAAAACTCTTGGCTCTTGGGTTAAAGCTCTAAAGGCAGAATTCATTTGCCAGGAAACACTTTTGCAAGCAAACGAAGGAATCGTAATTAATGGAGAGGTTGTAAATAATATTCGATACGCAGACGACACTGTACTAGTTGCAAGAACAGTAGAAGAATTACAACGATTACTTACAAATATAAATATTGCCTGCAACAATTATGGCATAAATATCAATATCAAAAAAACCAAATACATGGTCTTCAGTAAAAACATGACACAACCAGCACATATTAGTATAAACGGCATTTAAATTGAAAAAGGATTAAGTTACAAATATTAGGGGACTTTAATAAACGAAACTGGAGACCAAAACAATGAAATAAAAAGAAGTATCGAAATTGCCAGGGCCACCTTTATAAAAATGAGGAAATTCTTCTGCAACAGAGATATAAGCATCCCTCTACGATTAATAATGCTAAGGGGCTACGTATTTAACACGACATTATACGGTATAGAGGCCTGAACTCTCAAACAGAACAACATAAAAAATATTGAAAGATTCGAGATGTGGTGCTACCGTCGAATGCTAAAGATAAGTTGGGTTGAAAAAGTCACAAACTTTGAAGTAATACGAAGGATAGGAAAAGACCCAGAAATTTTGTCAACGATCAAACGAAGAAAACTCGAATATTTGGTTCACCTGATGAGAGGACATAAATACGCATTACTTCAAAATATAATGCAAAGAAAAATAGAAGGAAAACGGAATCCAGGTCGTAGAAGAATGTCATGGTTGCGTTATAGGAGACATTCTAACTACATCTAACGGTTCGTGAGAAAAATTTTCATTTGGAGGTCTGTATTTTCTAAAAAACTGGAGAAATTTAATTCGATTTTTTGTCTATTCCGGCAAATTGGGGTAAGTGGATCAGACTAAGACACATTTTTGTAATAAGCTGGACCGAGTGCATGTACCAAAACATAAAAAGAAATTTTTTAATAAAAATTTGGAAAAAATCATCACAGGAGGTGGTACCCTTGGATTTTTTTCAAATTTCGTTATTCGGGTATTTTGGCGTCAATTTTCGCCCGAGAGACAAGCTAGTAGACATTTCTTACATAAAATTGACCGCTCGTTCTTCTGCCATACTCAGAATTTCCCTACATCTAACGGTTCGTAAGAAAACTTTTCATTTGGAGGTCTGTATTTGCTGAAAAACTGCAGAATTTTTAATTCGATTTTTTCTCTATTCCGGCAAATTGGGGTTAGCGGATCAGACTTAAGGTCGATTCAGACACATCAGTCAAGTCTCGTCACAGTCCTGGCACCGAACCGAACAATCCGTCATACAAAATATTCTTTAATAAAAATATAGCCAGGCATTCACATTCATCAGTTGACGAACAGTTTGCCAGCTGTCAGATAGTTGATAGTTCTGTGACCAAACAGGACCGGTTCGGCGCCGAGACTGTGACGGGACTGATGTGTCTAAATCGACCTTTAGACACATCTGGACCAAGTGCATGTACCAAAACATCTTTTATAACAATTTATTGCATTTATAAGTGTATACCTGTAAGTGATTTCTTTAGATTGATAAGTTTTTTTTTAGAATTATCGTTCTTTGTTCTTTTGTAATAATCGTGAATAAATATACCTATATAAATGTTATTAATTTATTTTTTTTTTCCATATTACTTATTCCTTGAACCGACTACTTTATTGGAGACCTAAAACAGCAAACTCGTATCTGCACCATATTAACTACGAATTTATGATCAGCAACCTCGTAAATAACAAAAATGCTTATATTTTGGAAAAATGTTAGTACAATAGAAAAAATGCACCAAGTAATTGTTATTTAAATCATCTGTATTTCTATCAAGTCATTAAAATTCTTACATTTTCAAGGGCACTAACATTATACGTTTTTTGTTCTCCTGAAAAATTTGCTATTCGTAGTTACAAGGTTGACGCAGAAAGAGGACGAAATGCAACTAACTACCTCAACTTTACTGCAGGAAGTAAAGGTTTCACAGATTTTAATACCCATGAACCTTTTATAATTTATTAAAATATAAGTGTAAAATTAAATGTCTTCAAAGATAAGGCTACTAATCCTTTAATAGTCTACAGATATTGGATTTTACATATTTCGATGAATTATTAAGAATAAAATTTAATATAAAGTCTGTGCATTCTTAGTTGAAAAATCGTAAATTTATTGTTAAACTAAAATCACAAAAATAATAAAGATTAAAAAAAAAATAGGAAGACCTTTGGGATGCATCCTGGTAGAAATATCGTAAACATTTTCAATTGAAAATAAAAAGACTTTAAACGAATAACAGGGCAAGGCTAAGGATAATTTGAGAAATTTTGCAAAAAATGCATTAAAATGCAAGTTGCGTATTATCCGCCCTTTAGTAATTGGGAATGCGGTTACCAAATAGGATAAATGAAAAAAATTATGTATAAAATCGTTTATTTTAAAATGCTTATATAAACTAGTCAATATCTAAACTACAAATTTCATAAAAAATTATAAAATTTTTGTATACAAACACGAAGGAATATTTTATTAAAAATATAAAAAACGATTCAATTCAATGGAACACACCACAAATATATAATAAATTTTTATTAACACGAACATGTTTTGTTTAAAAGGGCCAAGTATGCAAAGAATCGGAATCCAAGTATAAGCATACATAGTGCGATAATGTCCAGTGTAAAGTTTTCCTGAAAATAATATAATTTATAATTAGTTTTTTATTCTCATTGAGAATTTAGAAATAGTAATTTCTTTCATTCAAATAAATATTATCAATATTTATTTTTATTTAGTCAATATTTTGATAAAGTATTTCATGAACTATCCGTATTAAAATAAAACATAATAATATTATGATCAAACCAAGCTTAGCTTGGTCACCTTTTCGGTGGTATATTTATACCAAATCAAAACTTGTCAAAAGCTTACAAAAATAGCTTCAGTAAAAATTACGTTTTTACATATAATTGAATCAATATAATCTAGGACAGAACAGTTTATTGCTGGAACAACAGCCGCATTACTTAAAATTTTAAGTACTTATTTTAATTATCTACCTCTACGTAAATTATGTAGCTGGAAATCACTAAAAGACGGTAAAGATGATACTATAATACAAATTAAAATTGGTCATTCATCATTATCTTTGACTCTACAACCCTGGGTGAATCTTGGCCTGTTCAAGAATTAGTCTCCATTCCCCCTATCTTTTACCCTGGATTTCCAATGTCCTAGATTCCTCAAGTCATCTTCGACTTGAGTTTTGAATCTAGATCTTAGCATGCCTCTCTTCCTAGTTCCTACTGGCTCTTGATAGAATATCTGTCTTTGGGGGTCTTCAGTGTTCATTGTTTCAAGGTGTCCTAGCCACCTTAGTCTATTAATTGTAATAGACCGGACGATGTTGCATGTTTAATAGTATTGATACAAATCAAAATTGTAGCGCCTGCGCTATATCTCGCTTTCTTGTACTCCTCCGTATATTTGTCTAAGTAATCAGCTTTCAAAGCTGCCCTAACTGTTCTTCGTCGCTTTTTATCATAGTCCATGTCTCTGACGCGTATGTCAGGACAGGTTTAATAAGAGTTTCATATATTAATATCTTGGTTTTTCTGCTAATTATGTATGATATTAGGAATTGCTTTAGTCTAAAGTAAGCTCTGTTCGCCAGGTATATTCTTCTCTTAATTTCTACGCTTACTAGGTTCCTGTTATTTAGTTGTGTTCCAAGATATATAAACTCCGAGACCCCTTCGAATATGTGTGCTTCTGTCACCAGATCTTGTTGTCGCTATTTGTGTGCTGTTCGTGACCTTCATGTATTTTGTTTTGGATACGTTAACCTGCAGTCCAATTGTCTTCGCGGCTTTTTCTAATGTTTCAAAAGCCTGTATCAGGTCTCGTTTTGTCCGTGTTACTATGTCAATGTCATCTGCGTAGGCCAATATCTGTACACTTCTATTGATGATCGTACCTCTGGTTGTTATGCCAGATTTCTCTATGGCTCTTTCTTGCGCGATGTTAAACAATAGACACGATAAACTGTCTACCTGGCGTAATTCAGTATGTGTTTGAAAAGACCTTGACACTCTCTTTTGTACCTTGACTTTGCACTCAACTTTCAAAAGAGTTGCCTTTACCAATGTTATTAGATGCGACGGAATATCTAGTTCTGCCATGGCATTATAAAGTACACTTCTGTATACACTGTCATATGCACTTTTAAAATCTATGAAGAGTGATGAGTATCAATTGCATATTCATATGTTTTTTTAAGGTTTGTCTGAAAAGGAAAATCTGATTAATTGTTGACCTTTCTTTTTGGAATCCACATTGGTATTTGCCTATTTTTCTTCAGTATATACTAGTAATCGATCATAAAGTATATAAGCCAGTACTTTGTAAGCCGTATTTAGGAGGGTAATGCCTCTATAGTTGTCCCATATTAGTGGATCCCCTTACTTGTGAATTGGTATTATAATACCTACATTCCAACTGTCTGGTTTTCCTTCTCTCCAAATAGATGCAACAAAATTTATTATGTATTTTTTTAGGACGTTTGCTCCATACTTGAACAGCTTAGGGGGTACACCATCTTCTCCAGGGGATTTGGTGTTTTTTAACCTTTTTATTGCCTTGGAAACTTCTTCTTCTGTTGGTATATTATTTTTCCCCCTCTCATCGTTTACGTCTCCACTGTGGTCATTTATGTCAGTCACGTCTCGGTTGCCTGTATTTAATTTCTCAGCAAAATTCTCTGCCCATCTCTCCACTATTTGATCCGGCTCATTGATTATTTCTGCTTCCTTACTTTTTATTATGGTTATTCTAGGTATAAACTCTTTTCTATTGTAGTTCACATTTTTATAAAATTTTTGCGCTTCGCTTTGTGAGTTGAGCCTTTCTAGTTCCTGTAGCTGGTTTTCTAAATGTCGTTTTTTTTTGTTTTAGTATCTTTTTTTTTCCCTCGGTGTACAGAAAACAAAAAGTCCAACGCAGCAGTTTAAAATTCTAGATGAATCTGCGGCTTAGACTAGGATATGCTGGGATCTGATCGGCCTATGGTGGAGCAGTACGGCAAGAGATAAGGGCTTGCGTCTTGGTGATACTCCTCCATAGATCCCTACCGGACAGGCGTAACGCCTAAAAAACCGGATATATATATATATATATATATATATATATATATATATATATATATATATATATATATATATCTTTTTTCCGCTTGTCTCATCTGTTTGCACTCCTCTTGATTTTGTCTTTTGTCCTTCTGTTTTGAAGTTTCCCGTACGCCTGATTCCTTTTTTGAGTTGCCTGTGCGCATTCCGCATCATACCATTCTGTCCCCTTCCTTTCTTGTTTCTTCTTTCCTACAACTGTTGTGGCTACTTCTTTTAGGATATTTTTACACTCATTTAAGTAATTATCTATGTTTTTAACAGTACTACTTATTTGGTCTTCTAGTTTTTTTTTTAAGTTTGTGTTCAAATTTTCTAACTATCTCAGGGGTTCGTAGTCTGTCCACCTCGTACTTAGCTTCTTTGTTTTCTTTACCTTTTTTTGCATTAGAGATTCGTGCCCTTAGTTTAGCCTGGACCAGGTAGTGATCGGAGTTAATGTTTGCTCTACGCCTGGTACGTACATTCATAGCATCGCTGTAATGTCTTGCGTCCACAACTACATGCTCAATGTGATTGATTGTATTACCGTCTGGGCTAACCCAAGGTGTATTAAGCGTGTTCCATTGTTGTTCGACTCGTTATGAAGGCTATATATTTTCCAATGTTGGGTAGGTAATCGTTTTCTTTTCCTTTTTTGGCGTTAAAATCTCCAAGTACTATTTTTATATCATTTCTAGGGCAGTTCCGTATTATTTCTTCCAGTTTTTCGTAAAATTTATCCTTTTCTTTGTCTAGCTTATCCTCTGTGCGTGCATGGGCAGTTAACTACTGAATATTTGAAAAATTTTCCCCTAATTCTTATTTTGCATATTCTGTCGCTTATGGCTTCGAAGTCTATTATTAGGTACTTCACTCTGCTGCTGACTATGAATCCTGTTCCAAGTTTATGCTCTGTTGGGTGGCAGCTATAGTACATTGTATATTTCTTTTTCTCGAATATTTTTTCCCAACCACCTAACCTCTTGAAGCGCTATGATGTCTATGTTATATTTATCCAGGATATCGAGGAGTTCCCGCAATGCTCCAATTCTGTATAAGGATCTCACATTCCACGTGGTTAATTGTAACTCTTTTTCCTTTTTCTCGCCAAGTCGCCGTCTAGATTTCAGTCCGGAAACTTTTTCTTGAATTTTCGTAACATGATGGTTTTTACGGTGTCGGGGTTTTAACCAACCTGGAGGACCAGTTCAACCGATCTCGTCAGTTTCGGACCCAACTTTTCACCCAGGTTGGATACCGGGTCTCCAGTTGGGTGGCTCGGTTTAACAGGCAGCACCAGCGTGAAGGTGAGAGTCGGATTTGAGTAGGAGAGGCTAAGTGGACTAAACTAAAAGCAGCTCCATTGGCCAATGGAGTTGCCATTGCCATGAATTGGTCATTTACTTAATGTTAAGTCAAACATATAGAAATACAAGAAAGACAGTTTGCTAATTTATATAATAATATTTCGTGATTTATATAGAAATACATCGCGAAAGTAAAAACCCGAAGATTTTCAGATTCAGATTTTTTTTAATATGCGTCTTCTAAGAATATCAGGGCAAAATAGACGATGCTTAAAGATGTAAGACAGATATGGAAAATCTAACAGTTGCATTCCACAACATATCTGCTTATTTAAGCAAAAATCCTTAGCGAACTGGTTTCTAGTATTTAAAAGGAGAAAATCAAATCTATCAGTATGCAACATAGATCCTGAATTTATCCCTGTAGCAAAAGCCTTTTTCGATGTATGAACTTAAACAAGGTATAAACAACAAAAAGGACACAGCACCGGGCATAGACACTATCACATATTCAATGAATAAATTTTTACCAGAGGCGGCATTAAAAAACTTACTTAATATATACAATTAAGCATTGGAGCGAAAAGAGATACCAGAGAGCTGGGGAACTCAAGTAGTACTCCCGTTTCTCAAACCTACCAGAAATTCTCAACTTTTAGATAGCTATAAAGCCATAGCCCTCTAATCATGTGTGGGCAAAATAATGGAACAATTCATTAAAAACAGATTAGAATGGATATTGGAAAATAACCTTACATTCAACAGCTTCCAATCAGGGTTCAGAAAAGGTATGGGAATACAGACTAATATTGCCTTTCTTACACCATATATCCAGGTGGCTATCTCAAAAAACAAAAGTGTGCTAGGAACTTTTCTAGATATAAAATCTGCATATAGCAATGTAAACATACATGTACTTTATAAAAAAATGTTAAATTTAAATCTCCCAATAGACCTGGTTAACCTCACATTCAAGCTTCTTTATAATAGGAAAATATATATTAAAGATGAGGAAGAAAATCTCATAGGTCTAGCTTTCACAACACAAGGTTTAGCCCAAGGATCACCACTCGGTCCTCTTCTGTTCAACATCTATATTAGTTCTGTTCAACTCAATTTATGACATATTATCAGAGGAATGCATAAAATTATGATATGCAGATGATCTAGTCCTATTAAACAAACACCACAACCCAATCCATGTAGCAACAGGGTCAAATTTAATTCTTGCAGGCATAAATGAATGGTTAGGGAACCATAACTTCTTTATATCAGTAAACAAGAGCAATGTAGTATGGTTTACAAAGATACGTAATACCTATACACATCCCGATATCATCATGGACCAGGAGATCATCCCTCGTAAAACAGCAATAAAATATTTAGGGCTTACTCTTACTGAAAACCTTAACTGAAACCCTCACATCGAAAACATAAGAAGTAAGGCTATAAAAGGTATTATTGTAATGAGAGCAATAGGCGGGGTGGGGACCCTGCTACTCTATTAATGGTATATTACGGTCTGGTAAGGACTTTGGCAGCATATTCTTAAAGCCATCAAACAAAAACACCTTGCGTAAACTTGATACTGTACAATACCAAGTTCTAAGGGTTATCCTCAGGTACATGAAGTCAACCCCCACAACAGCACCGGTGGCAAAAACTGCAGAGATGGCACTTGAATTTTGAAGAAAATGGCTGGCAACAAAATTCATGACAAAAATGTAAAGCATTCATAAAGAATGTAAAGCATTCAAAACATACAATACACACAACTCCCCACAGTGAGACTAAAAATCAGCAAGTCAGATCTTCATCTAAATATGATATTCAGAGCAGCAACAGAACAATTAATAGAAAAATACTTATTCATCTATACTGATGCATCAAAAAGTGGGAATGCTAACGAAGCAGAGACTGGTTATGGTGTATACATTCCCAATATCAACTATTCATATTCATCTTTCTCAATATGTATTCAGAATATATGTTGTATAATAATGTTGATAGTATGCAGCCCTGTCTAGTTCATTTCTTCATGTTTTGAACGCATATGAATATACTTTGATAAATTCGAGCTCAACCTTATATTAGCATATGAATATATCACGTGGACACTTGTTAGAATGAAAACCAAAAAGAAAAAACAATAAGAAAACAAAAGAAACAAAGAAAGAAGGCCAAGAGTTATATAGAATCACTGAATAAATAAAATAATGAATATGTAATATAGCAGTGGAATGAAATAAGGCAAGAACAATAGTACGAAAAAAAAACTGAAAGAAAGCCAAGCTCTAAAACACATTGGCTTGGACGGTAGAGATGTTCAAATAATTACAAATTTATATTGGAATCAAACAACATCAGTTTTAGTAATATTAATATTAAAAGAGGAGTACGACAGGGATGCCTTTTGTCACCTCTGCTTTTCAACGTTTACTTCAAAAGAATATTTAGAAAAGCACTTTCTGTTAAACAAGAAAGAATACTTGTGATCTTCAAACACTACTTGATAGTGTCGTTGAGAGTTGTAGGGAGGCAGGTCTGGATCTAAAAATACGGAAAACCAAAATACGTATAATACGGATAATAAGTAAACAATAGCAAACAAAACCGTCAATATATGTAAATAATACCAAACTTGAGCAGGTCCATAAAATTGTTTACCTTGGACAGCAATTAAATTGTAACGCAGAAAGTCACGGCGAAATTAGATCTAGGATAGAGCAGGCTAGAGCTGCTTTTAGAAGGATGTCCAAGGTGTTATGTAACAGAAACCTAAAATTGGAATTGAAGATTCGCCTACTTCGCTGCTACGTGTTCTCGGTCTTACTTTATGGTGTCGAGTGCTAAACTGTGAATAAAATCGATATAAATCGCCTTGAGGCTTTCGAAATGTAGTGCTATAGAAGAATTTTCAAAGTTACCTGGGTGGAGAAGATTCAAAACTTCGCAATACTAGAACGTCTCAGCAAGACTACGGAGATCCTAAAAAGCATCAAACAGAGAAAGCTGGAGTATTTCGGACATGTAATGAGAGGTCCCAAACATAGGTTGCTACAAAATATCATGCAAGGAAAAATAGCAGGCAAACGCAGTCCAGGACGAAGAAGAACCTCATGGTTAAAGATCCTGCGAGATTGGTATGGTGTTGATACAAACATGCTATTTAAGGTGACAGTGAATAAAATTAAGATAGCTATGATGGTAACCAACGTTCTGAAAGGACGTCGTACATGAAGAAGAAGAAAGAAAGTTGTGCACGGTTAAAATTAGATAAAAATATTACCTCTACACATTTAAGCTATACAGGTTTAGCTTGCATCGTTGAATTACGTCTGTTGTGCAATGTATATAGGTTTATAACCCTTTCATACTTATTTATTATTTACTTACACATTATTTATTAGCAACCTTGTATTACTTCAAAAACATTGATAAATACGTACCTCTACAAAATTGTATGCTTCCAAAACAACATGTCCATTTTTGGGACAGATTGTGCTGTTGGTTGAACAATTAATATAAGTTATATTTTCCCATTGATTAATCATAAGGGCTTCATTTCCAAATCTAAACCATGAAAAATAGGACAACCACTTGAGGTAGTACGGTATCGAACTGAAACATTCAATAATATATTTTTTATTTGCTTATTTACTGCATCCTAATTTTATTATGTCTCTTGTATACATTGATTAATAAATATAAAAAATACAATCTTAATAACAAAATTTTGGCATTTTAGTAACACTTTATGTACAAGATTACGAATACTTACATCCAAAGAAACAATGATAAAAACAAACAAATGTACAAAGAAATATAAAAACGAAATATATAGCAAAGCAATATAACAATGTCAAGAGAATAAGGGACTTTAAATTTGTAATGTCATACTTATTTTCCATTTATTCGTCTCCTTTTTATACTGCCAATCTATTACGAATGTTGGACACTAACATGGCTATTTCAATTTTGTTGACTTCTGCCCTAAAAAGTTTTGTTGGGGTCAAGTTAAACCATTTTTATAGTAATAAAGACAGGATATTATTTTTCTTCATGGATCTCCTCCTTTTCCATGCACCTTAGCTTGAAGTATGATTCAAAGTAGGTCGTATTATTATTTATTTTACATTATATGGCGTAAGTATTGAAGTTTTGAACGTTTTATGGTTATGACAAGGTCGGGCTCTTTACCCATTCTCTACAGAACTTCTTTGTTGGTAACTTTGTCTGTCCAGGAAATCCTCAACATGCATTTATAGCACCTCATTTCAAATGCTTTAAATTTCTTCAGTGATGTTTCAGTTAAGGTTTATGACTCCACTTCATATAGAAGAAATGATAATACATAGCATTTTGGTAAACCAACTTTTATTGGTGAAGTAATTTGATGAAATTATCAACAGCGTTAACAAAGGAAGAGGATACAGAATGGGAAACAAACAAACAAAAATAATCTTTTACACAGACGACGCAATATTGATGGTCCAAGGTGAACATAGACTGCAAAGACTGGTCGACAGATTTGATCTATCATAAGAGCAAAATAATTTAATGAAACTGACTAATGAAATGACAATCTTATCTCAGAAAACTAAAAAAATTGTAGTCAGCAAAGAACTAACCAGATGTAAAATAGAAATTGATGGCATCAGTATTGAACAATTAATGGAGATAAAATACCTGAAAATTACGTTGTCTAGCTATGTAGACCTGGACAAAGACGTGAGAGATAACGTACAAAAATTAAATAGACTCAGGATGACAGGAAGTGATTCAGCATGAAAAATAATGAAAGTTTGCTGTGTAAACGGATATCTGGGGTCTCTCTGGGATAAAATTGGGTCTCTCCAAGAAACCTGCCGATATTTCTGTGGTCGGTGTCACTCATAGTTCTTGTCATTCTTACTTTAATAAGTTTAAATCCCGGCATAAACACTAACAAATGTACCAAATCTACCAACATTGTCTTCTTCTTATAATGCCGTGCACCTATAGTGCGTTGGCGAATTATCTTAAGAAAAGACTGTCTTTCGCGGCATGCAAAAGATCGCCAGTGTTATTTATACCTGTCCAGGTTTTTATGTTTCGTAGCCACGACAATTTTTCGTATCTTGATCAAATTGAGTAGTTCTCTCTCAGTATTTGCCTTTCTTAAGACTTCCTCGTTTCTCACCCTATCTGTCCATTGTACCAATATTGTACCAATTTTTAATTCATATTTTTCTTGATACGTGTTGGCGTAATGTCTCTTTTTAAAGTTTTTCAGTACCCAAATGGTTACTAATATTAGTTTTTCCAGAAACTTTTCATATATACTTATATAGTTAAAGTAACTTACCTTAGATTCATGAAATATCCACCAAAGAGCAAAAAAGGTATGACTAAAGGGGCACCCAGCGTCAAGGCCATAGGGGTATTCCTTGAAATACACGACACTAGATAACCTACAAAACATACGTAATATTTGTTTTAGTGTTGCTATAGATGAGTGACATGAAACTTAAATTACATGCTGAACAAATAAGTCTGTCAATAAATACAAAAAAGACTAAAATCCTTATACAAAGTCGGTCGGAGAAAGCAACACGACCAGATCTAATAATTGACAACTTAGAAAAAGTAGATACTTTTATCTATTCAGGAGTCAACATTACAAAGGACAGCATTGAAAATGCGCAGAATAATCATTCCACTCAATACGGCATATTTTGCCCTAAACCAGATATTTCAGTCAAGTCGTATATCAAAGGACTAAGTTAGGAATCTACAAGACCATAATCCAACCTATAGTGAACTATGGATGTAAAACTTGGATATTGACTCAAAAATTTGTAAACCGCTTAGACATATTTAAAATAAAGACACTGAGATGAATAATAAGCCGTATTAATGAGAACAATAGCGAATCAGATAAAATTGTATATAAAAAAAACCACTACCTTTATCTCAGTATATCCGCCTACAGCATCTTCAATGGACAGATCATGTGTTTAGGATGGAATAAAACAGGTTTATAAAAAACTGTTGAGTAAAAGAATTAAGTGGAAGAGACCTATTGGAAGACCCAGTTGATCGTGGAGGAGAATGACGAATGAAGAGGTTAACTAGGGAGGCCAGGGCTAGAACTGATCTGTAGAGCAATAGGATGAAGGGATGAATGGTTGTTTTACATTTATTATAATATATCAGTCAGCATCAAAAATAATTTGGAACAAATAATTTCTTTTAGAAATCCTCATACTCACGCGAATTTCATGTGATTAAAAGTTTGTTAAATGTATTATGGCAAGGATTATGAAAAATTTTGAATGCAATAGAAAATAAAATAAAAATGAGCAATCCTTAATGGTTTATTAAATGTACTAGTCCCATTTTTTTAAATATTTGAATAAAAGTTTAAAAAATACTTTGACATCGTTCGATGCATTCTTTTGACTATTTTAACTGACAGAGGATGCCGCGATATTGTTCTAGAGTTATTGGAACCAATTAATTGTCAAATAAAAAAATACCAATTTGAAGTTTGGCCCTTGATCTAAGTAAATTTCTAAGGACACATCAAAACAGCTGAAAAACTCTTTAATCAATATATCTGCAACTGTACAAACCTTCTGGTATACTGGTATAAGATTGTATATACCTCAGTCCATTTTAAAAAAACCATCCATTACCACCATAATATTCTATTTATTTCTAGCATCCATTTTTCGGAACGGTCCTGCCATATCTACTCTAGTGCTACTTGCAATTGTTAGTTTCTCTAAAATACTGTCAACATTGTACTGTCTTATAAGTGCCTTTTTTACCAAGTAGACTAGTTCTTGCTGCACACAATTTAAAAAAGTGTCCAACTTATGCTCGATTATGTGATTAATTCGCGCCTAACACTTTCCTTTTAGGTACAATTTCTTAAGTATTTTGTAGCTCTTGAGATTGTCATTGATCATTTGTGATGGATGTCAAGTCATTCCCCTAATTTTTAACTTGTAATCGTTCTAGTAATTTTGAAACTTGATCTACTAGATTAGAAAATTGTAGAAGTCACATCATGCGATGACTGCATCACCAATTCGAAGAAAACAATTTAGACCATACAAGTATGTGAAAAATGTTCATAAGCCTTCACAATACGTAAAAGTTCTTTACTGCTCACGCAGTAGATATTTTCTCATTTTGTTGAGACTTTGCGACAGTTTTTCTAGTCCGACTTCAATATGAAAAAGTAGTTCATATAGCTGTGCTGCTTATTTTTTTCTTTTCGTAGTAATTGTGAGTTTTGGTCTGATAACAATATTCTTTGATTATGCTTTCACAGCCAGTTTCCTCTATATTTTTTGTTGCTTTCTGCACATACGATAACCTTTTTATAACAAATAATGCCATCAGAAAGGGAGGAGATTTTATATGTTCAATCTAGAACTCGCTGGTATCTCCCTTTCGCATTGAGTATGTATATTACCATAGAAAAATAATAAGCTAGTAGACTAGATAAAACTATTTAAAAAACATGTAAAACCAAAAAAAATGTACATAGATATATATACATTCTAATAAAATGAAACATGAAGAGCTAAACATTTAAATATGTGATATGAAACCGATACGACAACTAATATTTTATTCATAATTGAATAGAGTTTCCAAAATTTAAAGGAATTTTCGTAAAATCATAGCTGTTTGCAAAACTAAACATTACGAGACAAATTGTGGATATATATATATATATATATATATATATATATATATATATATATATATATATATATTAATATATATATCACACAAACCAAACCGTCCGTCTACAAAAGAAATTTTAAGTAGGTATGATATAACATGATACGACAAGAAAGAACAACGACTTTAAGAGCTGATTGCTACTTAAATACAATACAAAGAAATATAATAATTTTATCATACATAACGTTCAATTGAAAGCACAAATTCCGTTTGAAATAAACAATCCCTACGGTCCAAAAATAAGAAACGAAGAAGTAACTCTGGCCATTAAACGGATTAAAGATAAGAAATCACGAGGACCTGATAAGGTGCATGGTGAAATTTTCAAGCTATTAGAGGCATACCAAATCATAGGTCTTACGAAGCTATTTAACAATATCTACGAGACTGGTAATTTACCAAAAGACTGGCTACTAACAATATTTATTTCACTTCCTTAAAAAGCCAACGTTAAAAAATGTGAAAAACATAGATTATTGAGTTTGATGAGGCATGTACTTAAAGTACTCCTTACTAGTATTTACTCGTACATATACACCAAATTAGAAGAACACCAGTGAAGCACTTTTTAGTTTGTAAGTTCTAATACAGAGAGCCAGGATGTGTATTCATTTTTCATTGATTTCGAGAAAGCATTTGATAAAGTCCCACATGGAAAACTAATCGATATGCTAAAAACATTAAGACTCGATGGTAAGGATATAAGACTGATCTCAAACTTATATCTCTAACAAAAAGCAAAAGTAAGATTAGAAAATGAACTGTCCAAGATCTTCACAGTCGAGAAAAAAGTTAGACATGGTTGCATATTGTCACCAGATTATTTAACATTTACTCTGAAAACATTTTTAGAGAGGCTTTGGACAAATCAGAAGATGGGATTGCTATAAATGGCCAACTTATAAACAATATTAGATATGTAGTAGATACAATGCTGCTGGCAGATATTGCCCAAAAGTAATTAACATTAGTAAGAACACCAACATAAACGCGCAAATTACAATAGATGATATATCGTTAGAAAGAGTGGAAAAAATGCTATTTGGGATAAGATATTAAGGATACTTGGGATCACATCTACGAAATAAAAACTTGTATGAAAAAGCCAGAATCTATTTTAACAGCCTTAGGAAGCTTCTCTGTAACCTATCTTTAAGTATCAATTTACGCATAAGAATTCTTAGATGTTACGTCTTTAGTGTCGTCCTCTATGAAGTAGAAAGCTGGATTCTTACAGAAGATGCCATAAAACGTTTAGAGGCGTTTTCAATGTATGTTGAAGGTCTCATATATACACCACACAAGTAATATAAGTGATATCACACACTGAGTGATACGGCCTTTGGGCCAAGAGTTATTTTCTACAAACTGACGTTACTTGGGCGATAACTTGTGGGTCTGCAGTTTTAATGAACTTCTTTTATTTTTCTGTCGTTCTTTGTTAACATACAATGTGTAAAAGAAAAGTTTTTGTCTGCAACAATATATTACAACCGTTTATTGTTCTATGGTATCTGTTCTTTTGTACGCGGAATCTTAACTTAATAAACGGGAAGAATCAAAACTAACACAAAGTTAACACTTACCAAAGTTTATAGAGTTGCGAAACTGTAACATTACCCATTTATTTTTACGAGACCTTACTTTTTTAAATGTTCCGTAGGATTCCTATCTCCGGATTATATTTAGCAATCTAAAGCCAGTTTAATCTTTGTACTTTACTTCTATAGTATTTTTTGCTTAAAGATTCCTAATTAATTTTTATCAGTGCTTTAAAAAGTCCTCGTTTAGCATCCATATGCGATCACTAGCCTAATATATTATTATATACCTACTAATATAATATAATATAAGACTATAATATAATATATAAGATAATAGGTATGATTCTGTAGGTTTAGGTTCTTATGTCGATGAGATTTTATGCACTTCACATATTCTGTTTTTCTTTCGTTCATATTTCGGCCAAGTTTGGCAGTTTTTCGTTTAAGGTATATGATTTCCTCGCTTAGCATCCCTTTCGTGCGGCTTTTTTGTTCCCTTTCTTTCTTTCATATTATAGTGTATTTTTATGTATGAGAGCGTAATAAAAAAATAAATTATGTATGCAAATCCCTAAACTGTTGATACGGGTGACTCAATGAAAAACAGATATTTGTCAACAAGTTTACAGAAGTATATAGGAAAACAATTTTAAATTGAGTATGACCACCAGGTATAAAGGTTGGAGCAGAATAGAATACAATAGTTGTGAGGGTTACTAATCCCTAAATAAGGTTGCCAGTGTCGGAGTGATGGAGGTTAACAGGTACTAATGAATTTGCAAGAAATGTAAGATGTTTATTTTATTGGTTATATATAACCAATAAAAGTTTAATAAGTACCTACCTATTTGCAAAATAAAGTTTAATTCTTTAGATAAAATAAAACGTTTTATTTTATCTGAAATGAGTGCATTCCACGAAGTAAGGGTTTCAACAATCAAACATTTAATTCTTTAATTCCAGGAATCTACGACAGTAATTGACTAGATAATTACCTTCTAAACTTATTCCACAGAAAATGTGATAGTGGGTTTTTCCATTTTGTAGGAAGGTCCAAGTGGCGTATTCAAAATTCTTAACAGTTCACTAAAAGTAGGTACTTCAGTTGCAAGGTGCAGTTTATTGTGTATACTAGTGTTATGGAAAATTTGGAAGTGCCGTGT